TTGAGGCACCATGCAGAAGTAACAATTGCTGGTATGATCTGTTGGCTCTCTCCAAATCATTGGCACTGCAAAAGGCATAGATTTCCTTTTCCTGTTCAACCACTTGCAAAGATTTGTTGCACAAGTGTTGCAGCATATGTGTGGGGCCCACCTCTTGTCCTGATCTCCAATTTTGCAGCCAAAATAAAGGTGATAGGCTTTCTTAACCATAGTGGTTATAATGAGCTTTTGTGATGCAAAAGTCACTTCACCACAAACATAGCAGAAGTTATCTGCGCTGTTCACACAAGTACGAGGCTTCTCTGCTCACTTTGGCTAAACAGAAATGTGTCCCTTTGCAAAATCAAACACTGACAAATAAGAGAGCATGACACTGTATGATTTCTAGAGCTGATATAGGGCAATTTGTTCAGCAGAGTGATGTAAGCTTCGTTATGATTGCATCATCCATGACTTCTAGGAATAACATGATGCAATTCATATCATGTACGACGCAATACCAGCTTCAGATTGCATCATTCATTGTTTTGCCTAAAAAGTAAGTAGTTTCCAAACCCAGTCATAGATTTATTCATAGATCTAGTCAAAGATGTATTTTAGTCATTTCTGGTTTAAATTGAGATCCCTTCCCTTTATAACTCGCTTATCCTCCGCCATTCCCAAGTCAAGGGTCGTATATACTGACCCAATAGCATATCTTGAAAACTAGAGCCAATCAACAATTTTAAGCATCATTTTCGTTCTCAGTGACCCAGAATTAGTAAAGTTTGACTACATTTATTTCAGAAGCATTTTGGCTGTAGAGCAGTGTAATTAGTCCGAACAGCAGCTTTCACTCAATTAAAAATAATCACACTTCTGTGAAAATGCTGTGCCTACTATTGGTTTCAGAGTTCTATTTTGTTTCAGAGTTAGCTTCCCATTGATATGAATGGGAGCAATTCATACCTCCCTCAAAGATACTATTTCAGGCTGTCAGCAAACTGGGGCACAGATCAGTGTATTGGGTAAAACTGTTTGAATGAAGTTTGTCAAATGCAACTTAAAAACAAAAAATTAAAGTCAATAAAAAAAAAGTTATCAGAATGGCTTATTTACCAAGAGCCTAATTTGCAGGAAACAAAAATTCAGTGACCGTTTTGGTAATGTTTTTTGGACAAAAACCATGAAACATTTCTGAAAAATATTCTGAAGTGAAAACAATTTAACTTTTAAAGAAACAAACAAACCCTACTTTGCAACCATCTATTGTACTGGTTAGTGTTAATTTGCATTCTGAAGTTTACTTTTCTGCCATAAGGGCTACATACTTTAAAAAAAAAAAAATGACAGTTTCTATTCTGGTACACAATTTAACAGTCACTTACAAAACTGGGCAATTAGGCAGCAAATTGTAATGCTGCACAACTGCATAATAGATGAACAGTCTCTAATTCAATCAATGGGTTCAAAGCATTTTACAAGACTACAGTACTTCGATGTTCCAGAGAGACTAAAGCAGAAGGAAATTAGATTTACTCAGTCATACAGCAAGACATTCGCAGCAGTGGGGATAAAATCCCAGAGTCCTGGTTTCTTATCACCTACTCTCATCTGCACCAAACAAGAGCAAATCTGTATCTTTTTTTATGTATCTTGTGCTGTGCATCCCTCTTTTTTACCTCTTGGGAGTTTCAGAATTTAAAAATGAGATACAACTCTTACTGGTCAGAGCTTACTTAGACAGGATGCATGGCCCTTGACTCAGAGTACCAGAGCAGATAGCATAATGCAGCCTGGCCTGATATCGGTATTAGTTGTCTCAAGAATCAATCCCCTTTGTTTAGGGAATACTGGAATGAGGCCTGAGGCTGGATTACTTGACAAAGAAAGCTTTCTACCCTATTTGAAACTAGAAGAGGATCTTAGGAGTGAGATGCCCAGAAGTTCTAGCACTTGGCTTTACAACGATCTTGTTGCTAGATTAACAACCCCAGAAACTGATGGACTATTTTTCACAAAACTGGTATTGTAAGGGCAGCAGAACTTCCCTCCTATACAGTGCCTCAATGCATCCTGACACGCAGAAGCTCCTTCCAGAGGTAGAAGGGAGTTCAATCTTCCTGGCACACTCAGTCCCAGGTATCTCCAGCGGAGATGGCTCACAAGAAGGCCAAATAATGCCAAATGTGGTGGTGTTTGTGAAACAGATACTTATCCCCACGAGCTACACTGAGGTACACCAACTCACTTCACAGAAACCACCAAGCACAGGGAAACAACTTTTAGTCACTACAAACCCAAATCAGATTAGAATAGGTAACCTGCAGGTGAAGTACTTCAAAGCCCATCTCTCTCATGCACACCTTTCAGCCTTCGCAGTTTAGTTGAAGGGTTCTTTATCTGTAAATTAATGACTGCGGGGGGTGGGGGGTGGGGGGGTGAAAGTGTGGACTTGGAGCCAGTTCCCTAGAACTGCCTACCTTATTTCTCCCCTCATCCCCTATTCACGCCTCCATAACACTCCAATGCATTATGGTCACACATCGGTTTAAACAGATAACATCACATTCTTAATAAAACAATGACTGTTATGTACCTTCCAGCTTCTGTCGTTTACTACTTCTTCCACATTCAACTCAGACTGCATCAGCTTCAACTGCAAGAAGTGTGAGAGAAGACAGACACCATTCAGAATCAGATATTAAGAACAGGCCCCCACAGTCTTGGCAAGTCACACAATGTGACCCTAAAAACCCCTCAATGCCAACTAGCAAAGGGTTCACTGTTCTGTAACAGTAACTCCGGACAAAGTCAGTACACTAGCACACTGCTTTCATAGTATCTATCTATAAAAAATGTCACGTGAAGTCTTCAATAAAAGCTGGGGTCATGCTGGTCATTAGTATCAGTGTGAGATGTATGTATAAATACTGTGTGTGTACGTACACACACCCACAAACCTACCTATAAGTACACACCCACAGACATTTTCAGTATGTTCCTAAAAATGTCTGAATCAAGGTAAGGTTGACAAACAGGTTTCTGCCAGACAAAGGATGCATATTCAAGTGTCTGCCTCTCAGTACAAGTGAACAGTAAGCACTGTAAGCCAACACAACGGAAGCCCTGTTTTCATACAAAGTCCACACTAAGGAATATTCTGGGGGTCATCCCGACTCTGGGGACAAAACATGAATTTTGAGGGATACAAAGAGAAGGCAAAAAGCCAGCTCTTCATCCTGTACCTGAGGAAGTAACTGGCCAGTCTGATTACATTCATGAAAATGGGATCGCAATCTGCCCTAGTTGGAAGCACTGCAAAGGATATTTAGGCACGATAAGATGGCTTTTAGGCAGATGGTTATGCTGTTTAAGTTTAGTCGCTAGAAAGTGTGTACAGATTTTTTTTTATACATAACCTTCCTCTTTCCATTATCTCTTAACCCTTCACAATAAATTTGATTGTTTTCACAATAAATCTCTCAGTGCTGTGATGTGACTCAAACAAACTGGTATTGTGATAAATGAAGGGGGGAGAGTATCTCCCTTTTATGGACACCCAGCCAGCCCGTAGTTGTTCTCTAACTGCTCTACCGGTAAAGGGTTAAAAAGTCTCACTGCTACGCAAAGATAAAAGGAAGTGAATGGGCACCTGGCCAAAAGAGCCAATCAGAAGTCTAGAACTTTTTAAAATTGGGGGAAACAAGACTCCCCTTTTGTCTGTCTGTTGTTGTTCTCCGGAAGAGGCAGACAGGGAGCAGTTATGCTATGAGAAGCTTAGACCAGGTATGAAAAATCATCCCTATCATACCTAGAAACTACTCATCTAAAACCCCAGATATGTAAGTAGATCAGGAAATGTCTAGGAAGATGCAATTCTAGCTAGAATTGATATGCAAACTAGACACAATCAACTCCGGTTTGAATAAGGACTGGGAATGGCTGAGCC